CTGGTGCTTATAATGGCCAATGGCCACGCGGAGCTGGCTGAGGCGCTTCTGCGGCGCGGGGCAGATGTCTCGTTGCAGAAGAGCGGCGGTGGCACCGCGCTGAGCCTCGCCGCCTTGAACGGCCACGAGAAGATGGTCGAGCTGGCAGTGCGGCACGGCGCGGAGGTCGATCGGAAGAACAGCAGTGGCTGCACTGCGCTGATGGCCGCCGCCTACAAAGGCTACGAGCGGGTGGTCGACACGCTGATCCGGCACGGCGCAGAGATCAACCTGCAGACCAACAACGGCGACACCGCTCTGACTCTCGCCGCTTATCACGGCTACCCCATCGTCGTGCGTCAGCTGCTGCGGGCGGGCGCTGACATCACGCTGCGCTCTGAGAAGGGCAAGACCGCGCTGCAGTACGCCAAGCAACAGGGCCACACCGAGTGCGTGCGCGCCCTCGAGGAGCATGCGGCGGCCAAGGCGGCGGCCGAGAAGGCGGCGAAGGAGGCGGCGTGGGCTGCGGGCGCGGCGGAGAGGGAGGCGCAGAGGGCGGCGGAGGAGAAGGAGGCGGCGCGGCACGCCGACGAGCTGCTGGCGGAGGTCGAGGCGGAGAAGCGCGCCAAGGGCAAGAAGGGCAAGAAGAAGAAGAAGAAGAAGGGCGGCGGGAGCGGCGGTGCTGGGCCGTCGCAGGAATCCGCGCCGGCAGAGGCAGCCGCAGCCAAGCCCGCGCCGTTGGACAGGGAGGGGCTGCTCAAGCTTCTTGCGGAGCTCCACGAGGACAGGATCCGGTTCGGCATCACGCCGGAGACGTCGGTCGAGGGATTGGCGGAGGCGCTGGGAGAGGCGGCGGGCGAGGCGAGCGAGGAGGAGGGCGGCGAGGAGACGGCGGAGGCGGCCGACGAGGAGGGCGAGGAGGAGGGCGAGGAGGAGGGCGAGGAGGAGGGCGAGGAGGCGGCAGCGGAGGCGGCAGCGGAGGCGCGCCGGCAGGCTGCGGCGGAGGCTGCGGCCGTGGCGGCGGCAGAGGAGGAGGAGGCTGCCGCAGCGGCGGAGGAGGCGGAGGAGGCGGCAGTAGCGGCGGCAGAGGCGGCGGCGGAAGAGGCGGCAGCGGCGGCGGCGGCGGCAGAGGCGGCGCTCGCCGCAGCCAAGGCGAGGCGCGCGTCAGGTGCCGCTGCGAGGGACAGGGCGCGGGAGGCGGCCTAGCCCGCGCGCAAGGACAGCTGGCGCAGTGGCAGCCATGGGAAAGGGTCTCTCGTACTCTGGGGTGAGAACTCTTGTGAACGATCGTGGCTGTGGGCTGGGCCCCGCACCGCGCGGACGCGCGTGCAGTCCCTCGAGGTCCCGCCGGGATCTGGTCACTCAGGCGTACGAAGGGTGGACGGTGGCGCGAGAAAGTGGCATAGCCAATGCCACAGACTGCGAGCATCTCTCTGACAGTGTGGGTGTGTGGGGACCTGGGGGGGGGGGGGGGGGGGCATGCTGCCATCGTCTGGGCGAAGACCTGCGTTGCGTCCGGCTGCGCGCCAAGTACCCCGCCCCTCCACTGGCCCTGCCGATGCCGAATGTGGAATGGGGGCATATCCTAGCCTACTTTTCAGCGTTTCCCGCCCGGGCTCGCAAAACCCGGCGGGAGCAAGCGACCAGGGTGTAGCCGCAAAACTCTCTTTGCGCAGCCACCCGTGTGATTCAGAGAGAGGAAGTGCAATCTTCCACCCGTACGACCCGGAAAAGACTGTGACAGGACTAGCACGAAAGAAATCAGACAG